ACAAAAGTTAAAAATTTGTTGACACCACTAATTATTAACTGTTAACTCTGCAAAAAATAGTCAATAGAAAAGCACGCAATCGTAAATTTTCATGGCTAGATTTGTTTTTAAATAAAATTTTTTGAAATTTTCATTTGTTGCAAGATATTCCGCATAAGAACGCGTGCCCCCGCTACACTGTTCCCGTATCCCTGGGGGTACACTTTGGGAAACACTGGTCTAGGAAACATCCCTGGAGGATGATCCGAAGACATGCCATCGCAATTTTGCTCCTGTGCAGAGGGGACTGCTCCCCTGCGTTAGTCGCAAGACGACTAGCGCGCGAAGTAGAGCATTTTACGGCAGAACACTTAAACGAGGACCGATTCAGCGCACACTCGGTCCCTATACGCAGACTGGTCAAAGAGGTCACCCATCCGCTTACTGACCTCAGCCAGTGATGCTCGACTTCGGTGTTCTACTGGAAACCGCATGTCTTTACGATCAGTTCAGTGCGGACAAGTATATTTCAAAAACATCCGACGATAAGTAGGTAAGCATTTTATTTACGTGGCACTAGAACTGTATAACACGATAGTGACGATGGCCTGTAAAACATCCCTGAGGTTGATCAGAGGACAAGCATCACAATTTTGATTGTCTGCAGAAGCACTTGAAAGAAACCTACTAAATATCCATGTACCCATGGTACTATTCAGTGATCGACTACAGGATTTTTGACTCCATAGATTTTACGAGCGAATCGAATGTATTATATACATAATATATCGATATAATATGTACTATTTATAATATATTGAATGTACTCAGTGGGTCTTAACGGAGTCGAGGATCGAACCTCAGTCTTTCCGGACCGGAGTCCGATTCGCTAATCACTGGGCTACTTTGACGCGAAAAGCTGAAAATTTTTAACATGAATGTAATTCTATTGTAACAGTAATATGCATAATAATTTTATTGCACTAAAAAATTACGAAGTTTTATCAAACTTAGCTGTTTTCTCAATTTCTGTCAAATCAACGTATTCATTATTATTGAATAACGATACAGCATATTAAGATACACATTAAAAGTAAATCTATTTCACGAAAATCATTATATATTTAGCCTTAAGAGAAGTCGGTATGGCATATATCAACAATTCTAAAACTGGCCTTTTTTTATGTTCTTTTTTTCCTTAAAGAAACTACTTATGATATCACTTTGAAATTTTTTTTTTTGGAGGGGAGGGGATGTTTGAGATTATATCAGTTATATGCTGTGATAATGTCTTAGCGTTAACAGGAATACTTTTTGAGTTATGAAAGATTTTTGCTCAAAAAAAAAACTTTTTGAAAAATTAAAAGTTTCTTGTGAATAATTTTAAAAAGAATCTGCCGAAGATATGTATTAACGGTTATTACAGTGTAAACTTGTTTATGTAAATATTCCGTGAAAAAAAAACTGAAGCAATACCTTATTTAGATGCTGAGAAAAAGTACATCGAAAAAAGTATGTTTTAGTATTATTGGTATACACCCTATACTGTCTATCTTATCAAAATTGCGTCTTCAAAAATAATGCTTAGTTAATGAAATATTGAGTAAAGCTATTTTTAATCATGTGATAAATGTAAAGTAGTTATGCTGTACAAAGTTCAACAAGGATATTATCATCCAGTTAAAAAGAATTTTAGTTAAGATATGAAAGCACATAAAGTAATCGTGTCCTAGATCATTATCTATTATTTTCAGAGTAAATCAGTCACAGTCGATAATAGAGGATTTCCTAATTTGCATCACTGTATCCTATCTTTATTGAAATTGTAGCATTTTTATTTAAGTTATACAAACTCAGAGTGCTTACGGAAAAGAATATAAAATTTTTTAAAAATGATAGCTGAATTAAGAAAATAAAATGTATTTTAATAAGTTAACATTCACCTCTAAGCTTAATATTTCCGAATGAAAATTGCTAATTGGCAACTTCTTTATTAGAATATTAACATAACATTTTAAATTTTATAAGGACTATACTAACTCTGAAATTAATCTTATCTTACTCTAAAGTTTATTTACGTTTAAATGAAGAGGTAAGTTGAGGAACCAGGCATGTGAAATATTCAGAGTGACTATAATAAAGGGTGGCTATAACCAATAAAAAAAAATAGTGATATAGAACTATTTTCTTAAAAATTCTTTAGAGCCGCAGTGGCTTCAGAAATCGAGCGTTTGCATCCCAAAATGAGTTGACCCAGGTGCGAATCCCAATGGTGACTGGTTGATACAAATTCTGCTACCGGCTTTCACCGACCACAGTACTGACGTAACATATCATCAGTGATAGACGGATCCTGGGTTAAAATCCCATTGCCTTTGGGCTAAGGAAGTTTTCGTGGTTTTCCACCCCATGTAAAGCAAATGTGGTTTCTTCACATGAAGAGAAAAATCACGAAAGTCTTTGCTAAAGCTAGTTTGTTCAAATGCTTGATCCAGGAATTCCTTTGTTTTCTGGGTTGGATTTAAAATTACAAGGCTACGGAGATGTACATTGATAGTTGTAAACTCAGAAATGGGTCAACTGTCCAATGAAATAAATACAGATTCATTAGAAAGGCGAGGTTAATAAGTCCTTGCCTTATTTTATTTGTCACTGCTTCATTTGAAATAATAAAATAATGCAAGCACGCGCAAAATTAATGTGAATTATTTATGTCAAAATTAAAATGAAATAAAAAACAATTATATATTGAGATGACCACTTTGTGTCACCTCAATACCCAGATGATTAAGTACCTCTGATGATTTCCCTGATGATTAAGTACCACTGAAAATGTCACTTACATGCTTCTTCCACCAAGCTCGTCACATCTTTATACTGCTCCTTTTCTTTTCATAACATAAAAGAAACACGAAACATAAAATTCGATTTTTATTTTTTATTTTTTAAAGTTTAGCTCTTTAAATGACGTATCATTCAGACGGCAAAATTTTCAAGAAAATGACCCCTTCAGTTTTTGCCACTCTGAAGTGCTTTCGATACGCCATTACCGGCAAAAACCCTCTCTCCGTGTCAAACCACTCAACAATGTGTGTGACTCAACAAAATATGAGGCAAAAATGAAACATTACATGCCTCAATAGCCTTCGCGGACTAATAAAGGACCACCGCTGATATTTTAACGTACCGTTGAACAATCTCATTCAGTTTAAAATAATATTTTTAAAAAAAATTATGGAGGGATAACACTAGGAAGCAAATTGCTTCACCTGTTGCATGAGATTTTTTAACAGATCTTCAATACTTTAGCGCCTGTGATCAAATCTGCAATCGTTTTCATTCTACAAGCTATAGTTTTTATAAAATTTGTTAATGTATTCTAGGAAAAAAAGGTACCGGAAAAAAAGTCCCGGAAAAAAAGGTGCCTGGAAAAAAAGGTCCCGGTAAATAAAGGTACCTGAGTAGGGAAAATTCTGTAAGGGAAAATATTTGAAATGAGAAGATTAGATTGAAGCGCTTTTTGATGTTCCGTGCATGGCTTATTTTTTTTTTTTTTCGTGTCGTGCGTTTTCAACTAATTAAAAAGGACCAATACTTTCACCTCCAATCACGAATAAACTTCCAACACATAAATCCTCCCAACTTCCCCGATTGGCTACTTTAAGCCTCACATTAGCAACTTCTTCACAAAATGTAATTTAAAATAGAAAATAACACATTTTTCACTAAAAAAAATTACAAAAATAAAGTAAAACATTATTGAAAAATTTAAATAGTATCTTCCCGCTTTAAAAAATAATCAAAGAAGAATAAATAAATGAAATAAAATTTTAAAACAAAAGCGTAATACAACCAGCCCATAAGTCCCCCCCCTTACCCTTCTCCTTACCTCAATGATCTAATCTGAATTATTACAGATAAAAAGAATATTCATTGAAACAGCGAGGAGCATTCATGCTGCCCTGAAAGCGAGAGGGGAAATATCTCTACAGATTTTCCCTATGGAGGTACCTTTTTTACCGGGACCCTTTTTTCCGTCTACCAATGTATTCCTAACCAGAACATTTTTTAAAAGAAAGTCTCACTTGAGAGAACCGTGGTGATTCATGGCATAGAGTGTTCGCCTCCCAAAGAGGTGACCAAGGTTCGACTCCCAGAGATAACTGTTTGATGCGAATTCTGCTTCCGGCTAGCACTGACCGCAGTGTTGACGTAAAATAGTTGCTGTGATAGACGGATCACCAGTTAGAGTCTCCTTGACGTTGGCCTAAGCGTGGGATGTTTTCCTCGACATGTAAAGCAAATGTTGGTTAGTTCCATCAAAAAATCCTCCATGTATGCAAGTTTGTCCTAATGATAGTTTGATCCAGGAGTTACCTTGTCTTTGTGATTGGGTTTTAAATTTTAAGGCTACAGAGTTGTACATCGATAGTCGTAAACTCAGAATTGGATCATGTGTTCAACGCTGCCTGTTATAAAATAAAATAAAATTCACTCGTGTGAATACTAAAATGTCTTCACTTCTCCGCTACGTAGTTAGTTCAACGCTGCCTGTTATAAAATAAAATAAAATTCACTCGTGTGAATAGTAAAAAGTGTCTTCACTTCTCCGCTACGTAGTTAGTGTGTGAAGTGGGCCATAATACATATCAGTTTAAGGTGCAATACGTGGTCTTTATTTTCGAAGAAGCAGACAAGTGTATATGTACATAAATCTTTACAAACTTGTAAATTCCGATTTTAAAAAAATCCCTAGCTTTCCTAACAAAACAAATTTCAAATTTAAATTCTCCCCACCCGAATTTAAAATCAAGAACTTTTATGTATGTCACGAAAAATTTGCTACCTTGTGTAATTATTTCAGATGAGAACTAATAATGCAAACTACGTGGCCAATACTTATAAAAAAAAGTAAATAATTTGCATGCTTAGTGTATTTATTATTCAGACCTAAATAACAAAACACAAGACAGTGCAGGTCGTCGGACTNACAGCAAAACGCGACGCAGACATTATTACACATTCAAAACTAATTCTACAACGTGACTTGCAAAAGGAACATTTATGCATTAATGTTAACACATTATCTGTTACACGATTCAGTATTTATTCCTGAAAAGTAAGTCTCTTTTAGGCAAGATCAAAGCTTCTTCAGAAGTAAGAATATTTTTTATATCAATGGATAATTTATGCACTTTCTATTTTAATCTTCTTCTTAAAACCCAAAAACTTCTTTGCTTCCTGAAGTTTTCAGGGTCCTTTTTGAAAACCGATTTTTTTGTTAACTATTAATTATTGTTAATTGTGAATTTTCGAAATCTAAAAAGCGGCATCTTTCAATGATGAACGGTGTTTAAGACTACAAGTCAATTCCAATCGCGTTTTTCAAAACCATGTTTTTTAACCCTTAACATAGGATCTTTAACTCTTGCCCCGTTGTCTAGTAGTGATGTTATAGTATCCCACTGACTTATTTTATTTAATTTTAATCAATTATTTGATTTTTTTTAAAGGAAAAATGACCGTAAAGTGACAATTATGTTAGATGATTACGGAATCCTTGCCAAAAATTACGCTAAAAAGTATACCTTTCAGGAGTCGAAAATTAATATTTAAGCGAAGACAAAAGCGATATATCAAAATCTGCCGAAATAAACATGGAAGTCGCCAAAACTTGGTTTATTGCTGGAAAAAACGGAAAAGTATTTCGAAGAATCGATTTTCAATTTCTATCTATTAACTTCTGGTTCCTACAGGCAAGAAAAAATTAGAACAAGAATCATAACAGATTATGATAATTTTAATTACACCATATACTCAAGGAAGATTCGTTGGATATAGAATGCGTTTTTGTTATTTTATAAATAACATCTATAAAATAACAATATTTATTTGCAACTTAATATTTTAAATATTTGCCCTAATACTTATACTTTTTGCATTATACAGAGAGTCAAAAAAAAAAAAAAAAACGGATCACCCGGAATAACTTTTGGTTTAACGATTGGATCTTCACGTTCTAGGACTCAATCTTAATGGTTCGAGGAGTTTACTTCAAATATGCTAATTAATTAGCTCAGGCGATATTTTGAGTTAAGAAATCAGACACAAAAACGCACTTTCTCTGAATCAAATAAATAATTTTTTTCCGACGGATTCAGATTTCTGACCCCAAAAATATAGGGGGACAATAGCAATCTGAGAAATTTGGTTCTCATAGTTTGGTCAGGAGAGCGATCCGACGTTTGGACGCATGTTAATGTTAATTTTACTTTTTGCGTATTTCGCAAATAAAATAATGAAAAAATAAATATTAACTAAAATTAATTTTTTTCATGGAAATTATCTTTGGATAAACGATTTTTATAATCATATACAAAAAAATTTCAATTCGTTTAAAAATTCTAGAAATAAGGCGAATTACATAAAAAATAAAATTAACATTATAAAGTCCATACTTTGAATCGCTCTCCTGACTTATCTATGGGGACCGTATTTTCCAGATTGCGGCTACCCCCTACATTATGGATGTCAAAAATCTGAATCCGCCGAAAAAAAGTTCATTCAGAAAAAGTGCGTTTTTGTGTCTAATTTCGTAACTTAAAATATCGTCTGCACTAATTAATTAACATATTTGAGGTCACCCCCTCGAACCATTAAGATTGAGGGATGAGTGCAGCTCTAGTGCGATGTAAATAAAGTTCCTACCTACCTACCGATCATTAGACAGAAAAAAAAAAAACTATCCAGGGTGGTCTGCTTTTTTTTTTTTAATTATTTATTTATTTATTTTATTGGTGCACTGTACCATAACTGTACAATTTAGGAGGTGGTTACAATTCACTCAGTGTAACATAAACCGGATAAAATTATGAATTATTAAATATATCAGATTGAATCGTTTGAACGGATTAAACCACTATTTTCTTTTCACAGATAAAAAACAGTCCTATTTGTATTCTAGAACTGTAGTAATAGCTTAGGCTGTCAGGGTTATTTTACTTCCCCAGAAGACAAAGTAAATATGAACTAATTTTATTACCAGATTTTTTTTTAATTTTCCGGAGGACGAACATTTTTGCCACGTTAAGATCCTTCTTTTTTTTAAAAAAAAAATTGTAGTAAAATCGATTAAAAAAATGTATCGATGATTTAGGTCATTCGTATCAACCGAAAAAAGTTTCATTTTAAAAAAAAGCATAATAGGTGCCAAAACATAAAGAAAGAAAAAATGCAGTTATGATTTTGCAATGCTCATATGAAGGATGGTCTGAAAGCTTATAGATACCATGTCTAAAATGAACAAAAACAGGGAGAAAATGATTTCATCCCAACTTATACGTGACTATCCAGATTTTTTTTCCTCACAGTTATAACATAATGCTTTTTTTTATTACCCAAGAAAAAGTGAATAGTGTTGAATAGATTAAAGCAAAAAAATAATGTGAATAAAACAGAAATAAAGTACAGAAATTGATATACTATAGCTTCGGTTCTCTAAACAAATTTATTGAACCTTGTTTAGAGAACCAAAACTATAGTATGCCCATTTATGTACTTTATTCGCGTTGTTTTTTCTTTAGTTTACGCAGCACAAATACTCTGTCTTCTTTTTAGATAGTTATGAATAGCGTATAATTAACATCAGTAATATCTTATTTTACATTTCAGAAAAAATAGCTAATAAAGAAATAGTTAATAGCTAATAATACCAGTTTTTTCTTTTTAATTTTACTGTCAGCCTTGAAGGAGGGCTTAATTTATATATTTTTAGTAGCCTTGAGGAACCTTAGCAACCACTTATGATTTTTCACCGCCGTAGCAACCCTGTATGCCATCATCTTAGTTTACATAGGACAGTCTCAGTATAACTTTTTTTTTCAACGGGTGACGTTTTTACATCCAACTGTTCCTTTATATTGTTTCCTGATAGGCACCATACAAGAATCAGAATTACCATTACCTTGTAGCACACTATTCTGCGATATCGAAGTGTTTTTCATTAAAACAATGTTTTGGACAATTTGAAAATGAAGCTGATCATTATATTGCACCACGCCCTTCAGTTAATACTATGCATGAACTAGCGTATCAAACGCATATTTTTGTTTTGTTGATATTTTTATTATAAGTCTTATTTTTTTAATTTTATTTTAAGAAATTATTTTATTTTATAACCGTCGTTGAACAGCCGACCGAATTTTCAGTTTACGACTACCAATGTTCTACTCCGTAGCCTTGTAATTTTGAATCCAATCCAGAAGACAAGGGAACTCCTGGATAAAGTATTGAGAGAAATTTGTCTTCGTGGAGGACTTTTTGAAGGAGTCATTTTTACATCGAGTGGTAAACCCCTAAAACCTCCCATGGTTAGCCTGACAGCTAGGAGACGCTAACCCAACATCCGTCTAGCATTGAGGATATTTTTACGTCAGCACTGTGGTCTGTGCTAGCCGGGTGTGGAATTCGAATCAACCAGCCATCACCAGGATTCGAACCCGGTTCACCTCATTGGGAGGCGAGCGCTCCATCCCTTGAGCCACCGTCGACTTTTAAGAAAGTATTGTTAAAATTAATAGTTTCCATTTTATATTGTAGATGAAAATGCCGTGTCTCTCATGTTTGACTCTTCTTTTGATGATTAGCTACGCCGCATCAACTGGGTACAAAAACTGTGACCAGCCAACAAAAGGGGAGATTACAAGTCTCACCCTCTCCAGATGTCCGGACACAAAAGACGTTTGTCAACTTGTCAAAAACACCCTGGATACCATAACACTCGAATTTGTATCTCACGTAGATTCCAATTCTGTAACTGGTGTATACCAGGCGTACAGAACGAAAGATGGAAAAGAGGAAGGAAATCCTGAGACAATTCCCTACTCTGATTCTGACATTTGCAAGAATGAAAGTATAAAATGTCCACTAAGGAATGGACAATCCTACACTTACAAGAATACGGTCAATGTGACTGCACCAGACTATGATTACTTGTCTAAATTTATACTAAAAGATGACAATGGGGATGATATTGTGTGTTTTACAGTTCCTATTGAATATGTTGATCATTATTGAATATGCTGAGATATACTTAATTGTGTTGAATGTATTTGTCATTATTAAACATGCTGCGAAACACACTTGCATATTTCTTTCGTATTGAATATGTTGATCATTATAAACTATGTTAAGGCACGCTTAATTGTTAAACGTAATTACCTCAATTAAATATGCTGTTAAGTAATTGCATATCAATTTAGGATAATTTCCCAAAGTATTTTTTTTTACCTTTATATGATATTTTAAAATATGGATAACACATTTTTTCACAAAAATGAAATTAAGAAAAACTAAGTATTCCGAGTATATACAAACAAATCTGGAGCGTCAAAAAAAGAAATAGTCACTTTAATGTTATGACGTAAGAAGAGGACCTCAAGACTTCCGGTAGCGTTTGTTTGTTTTTTTAGGATACATGGTGAATAACAAATGCTACAACTTACCACAAAAAGTTTTAAAAAACTGATAGTAAAACTAAATCATTTCCAATTTATTTTTGGGAGACAACTCCACTGCCTGCTTACCTCAATGCTCAAACAAAACTGTATTAAAATTCCAGATGGATGGGATAGGGGTCGCTTCGCGGCCCAGGTGCCCAATAAAATCATAACACTAGGACTAGGACTTATTTTCGAGAGAAGTAAAATAAAAAAATACAACAATCAGCTTCTATAAAGTTTCAAGTTTTGAGAAATATTTTTTTGCAGTAGATGAATGCCAACTTGCACAAATTAGAGAAAAAAAATTACTGGTTACAGCAAAATTTGTATTTTAACATTAAATTCTTTATTAATTGAATCTGATTTAAAGCTACGTTGTTTACGACAACATCTTCATAATTGAAAAGTTCAAGCCACAGTCTTTCCAGTTCAAAAGTTCAAGCCCACTTCAATCCAATCATCCTGAAATGGGTCTCCTAAAGTAATAACTATTTCAAACGAATTTCTGCAAATAATAAACCTGGCATTCCTGGTTGTGAACAGAAGCAAATATATCCAATAAAAATAATAAAATTACGCCAGCACTTGTGCATTTTACAAACTGATGACTTTGTTTAGAGTAAAAAATGTCCTTCAGGTGAAAATATTATTTTCTTGTATATTTTTGACTGAAAGTAACGAATCCGTAATAATTTTTTTAAAAATTCACATTTTAACTTAGCCACTTCAAGTATTTTAACAGTAGACAATAACAACTCATTGACAAAGTAAATGCGCTATCATTGATCATAGGATTTCAAGAACTTGGTGACAATCCACCCTAGAGAAGGTTCGAGGTTTGATTTGCATTATATTAAGCTATAAATCCAAAAATTGACTTGAAGCCTGGCAACTTTTCTCTTATAACGGTACCTGAAGGATCGTTTTGATGCATGAATCAAGTGCTTTTTTTTCAACCAAAAATATCGAGAGATCAGACAGATATTAACCTAAAGTACAATTTAACTCTAGAATTGAAAATCTGTTTTTGAAAATTTGATAGAGAACCATCATTAATCATATCTACATGGCATTTTTACAACACATTTTTCTTCACTGCTTTTCGGAATCTGCGATTGTCATTTCACTACACTTACAGCAAGATCCCTTCATTTTTCGTCCTGTTGTTGAGCAGGGACATTTGTTTGTATTCCGTTGAACTTTTCCAAAATCTAAGTTTACATTTTAATGTATGAATCTTTGTTTCGTAAACTTGATTTAAAGTTATTTTCCACACCACTACATGCAAAGGATTTAAAAAATCATATGAAACATCAGTTTGCTCCTGTAATCTTGTGATGCGGCTTTTAAAATGTAAGCATAATTACCGGGAATTCTGAAAGCTTTACAGTTTTGAATTGTTTACTCCTCTATAAAATATTCTGCAAAGAGCGTAGTTGTTGACAACCCTACATCATTGTTATTATTTGTTCTACTGACGGCAAAAAGCAAGCTGTTTATTCTTGACTTTGTTAATTGTCTTTTAATATTTATATTATTGTCTTTTAATATTTATACGCTTAAATTTGTAGTCAAGGAATGAGATATTTCTAAATAGTTTTCAAGACATTTCGATGTCTCCTGCCCGCAAACATTTGAAATTAATTCAGTTTCAAGTAAATATTATTTTATTTATCTGTACTTCATTGTCCGAATAAGTAAATTTACAGCCAATTGAAATTTGAAAAATAAGAAATAATCTTACGCATTAGAATAATATAAGCATGCTAACAAAACACACAGCTTAATTAAGTGCTTCATTTTCTTTCTTGATTTCATGAGCTAAGAGCAAAGAAGACATGAATATCAGAAGCTCAACTATAGCGAAACCAATAGCAACCGCAAAAATGGCGATTACATGCCTGCTGAATACTTCACTTACTTTAAGATAACAGCCATCCTGAAAAGCATCTGCTTCAACGCACGTAGCATTGCTAGCACTGGTCTTGCAGCAACTTCTTGGAACTGTAAAATTATGTTTTCTATAATCTGCTGGACCATTGGTGCCACAACATTCCAAATGTGATTGCAACGCATCCCAGATTTTTAAGGTGTCATTATGATTTCGACTTAGACTTTCCTCCATGCTCTTTTTAAGAAAAGCCTCAGTCTTTACCCTATATGAATATGCACAAATACCACCGGCAATCTCCAAAACTATTATAACAAATACGAGCAATGCAAACACCAGCACCATAACGTGGTTATATTTGAGAGCACCAAAGCATCCAAAGAATGCTACCACAAATATAATACATCCTACAAGAATACAAATTATAGGCGCCGATATATATTTGATACCCAAGAAATGTGTCATATCCTGTCTGGTACCCAAAGCTCCAACTGTTATCATTCCTATTCCACAAATCACAAAGATAATGTTAATTGCAATTAGCGCGTATCTTATGAGTTTTGTTCCTAGGTTCATTTTGGTACATTTAATTGAAGCAAAATTAAGATCAGTTTAAGTCAGAATGCCCGAAATCGGAGGTAAAACACAGTATATTTGGCGATAGAGATGCATATGGGAAAACAGATTGTTTATAATTTTTTAAACGCACAACGTGCAAGGTAATGCTTTATGTAGTTATTATACCTCCCTCTCCCAATTTTTTTTCTTACTTTTTCTTGTCTCGATATTTTGTTTCGTACTACAAAAGAAAGAGAAAACTTATTAATGATGAGGTGGTCTTAAACATGAGTGAAGATGATGATGACTTCTTTATGATCTAGCCGCAAAATACAGGACTCCCAATGGTCAACCAAACAAATTGTAGTGGTGGTAAACTTGATTTATATTCATCCTGACTATGTTAATTTAAATGTATAATCATCATTTTATTAAGGTACCTATATATTTTTATCTAACGTTATATCTTTAATTACTATCATTACCTAAGCTGTACACAACAACATGCTACTCCAGCCACCAACTGCCTTGATTTCCTCCTAATACCTATGCCATTAGTCACAGTTGCTCTAGGGCAAAGTATAGATTTAAAAGTTTGGTGCCCGCTAGCTCGGGAGAGTACTTCAACAATAACCAGATCGAGTCGAGTCGAGAGGCATGAGCGCAAGAGTATTTCTTTACCCAAATTAAATGCTTACAACGAAATAATAATAATAATTATTATTATTATTATTTTTTTTGGAAAAGGGTGATGTTCCATAACGGAAATAAGGCGTTTAAACTCTACTTCCACATCACACATTCCCCCAATTATACGTCTAAAAAAACCGACGAATCAGTTAATGTCGCTTCGGGGCAGTGCACTGAGATTTGAGCTATACTCTAAAAGGCGTTGAATTCTTTACGGTGAGGTGCTAAAATGTTACAAACCACTAGAAATATAAAACTATTTGCTTCTGAACCTTCACCAATTTCTTCAGAGATGCACTTTCCTGTAATAAGTGCAGTTGCAACTACTTTGAAAAACTTTTATTTTGAGCCCGGCAACCGCCCTTTTCCTATCCGATGGGGTACTGTCCCGTAAATTTTGTAAATAGATGCAGATAATTTTTCACTCGATATTCACCTATATATTTTTGCGCAGTTATTATCATGTATTTTTTCCTATTTCTCTGAGGCTATGTGGCTACTGTGCACCTGCGAAGCTCGGGGATAATACCTCCGGGGGAGGCGAGGCAGTCTGAGCCGCAAAAACCTCTATACTCTCTCCTTTAAATTTGTTTCTTTAATCTCGCTATTTTATTTTAATTTTCTCTCAGTAAATGTTACTGAACCCCAACTTTATTATACATTCCCACTCAGATAAATTAGTTAGAGCCGCTCGCGAGACTGATGCTAAGATAACTACCACATATGAGTATGAGAGCTACCACTACAGGGGGGAGGCGAGGGAGTCTTCCCCACTTGTAAAATAATTGTCAATATTTTCCCTTTTTATTTTTAATGTTATTCTAATTAATTTTTTACTTCCCAATTCGATTTAACATGCATATACTTATGCCAGATTTTATTTTAATTGTAAAATGTTTCCAATTGAGACTTAACTTAGTTAACCCCCGCACCACCCTTCCTATCCTTCATATAAATATAGCTTAGATGAAGGAGCAGATATCCCCCTAGGATAGGCACTCCGATGAAACTGTATCAGTCAGCTACCATTAATCTTTAAGCAAAAAAGAGGTAAAGCATGCCTCTACAACAGTGTTTCCCAAACTTATGACTTTTGTGCACCCTTTCTAAATTTATCGTAACGCTGTGTAACACTAATAAAAAAAATTAAAATATTTTTTGCTATAAAAAATTGCCCGAAAGTTAAAAATCACAACTGGCTGCTGTAACTAGTTATTAACTGTTAACTCTTCAAAAAATAACCAATAGAAAAATACGTAAATAAAATAAAATTTTCACGGCTAGCTTTATTTTTAAATATTTTTTTTTTAATTTCATTTGTTGCAATATATTCCGCATAAGAACGCGTACCCCTGGGGGTAAGCGTACCACACTTTGGGAAACACTGCTCTACAATAACAACGATGCCACAGGAGACTAAACATGTAAAAAGCGGTCACTGATAATCAGCAAAAATATTTCAAAAAGCGATTAAAATAGGCAATTTTTTATAAGTATCTTTCAGCTTACTATTGAAGGTGGATCGAAAATGTTTTCAACTTAAATATTAATAATTTTCAACGTAAGTTGTGACCGTTACCATTGAATTCAATAGATTAAATAAATAAAAATGCCTTGTGGTTTCTACCACTTCCTATATTTTTAGTCACCCGGGGTGGTAGTTACGATTGGATAATTCAATAAATTAATTAATAAAAATAAATTGTAGTTTCTACCACTTCTTATATTTTTAGTTGCTAGTGGCATCCAAGGCAAATCTGTCTGAAGTAGCAGTTGCCAAATTAAAATTTTCTATTCCACAAAAAATTATATATATATATATATATATATTCTGATGAATTTTTGTCTTTTTAGTAATTATCTTTACAATGGAAAGGATATTTTTCTTCGGGATCGGGACCATCGCTATTCCGGATAACTGATTTTTCCGGTTTTCTGAATCGCTGCAAAAAGCCGTTTTTTTATTGTCAAACTCAACTAAAAAAATATATATTTGGAAATAATCTTAAAAAGAAGAAAAAACGATGAAGTAATACACTAATGATTGTTTCCAAAATGATGGTAAGGTTAACATCTTTCAAAAATGAAAGAAAATCTTGAAATCTTATGAGGAAAAAAATATTTTTTTTTAAAAAAATGGCGGGAAAATTTATCGAATTTCGTTCCGGTTTTTTGGTTTTCCGGTTTTCTGACTTCCGGATAACGGGTTCTGTACTGTAATACGATTTCAATTGTCTTTTTTAAATATTTAAAACCCATACTTGTTCTGATATAATTATTTTTTCCTTCATCTTTTATATTCTCTAGAAAAAGTGTGAAAAGTACTGGCCTGACAAAATGTTGAAAGTGGCTGATCTCATAATTACTTTGCAGAGTGAAAAAGTGTTTTTAGATTATACCATAAGGAATTTTAAAATTATAAAAGTAAGATTATTACGATAATTTATTAATTTTTAAGTTTCCCAGTAATTTATAATTAATTCTGGAGCGAAGAATATATTTTATATATTAATAGTATCTGCTTGTTTCTCNGTGTATCCCGTTGTTCTGCCCTTGTTGCAGGGCGCACCCAACACGGTATTCCAGCAAGACAATGCCAGGCCGCATGTCGCACGGCGAACTCTTAACAGCCTGACTGGATTTGACATCCTTCCCTGGCCGGCAGCCTCTCCAGATCTGAATCCCATAGAACACCTATGGGATCTCATTGGACGTGGCATGAACAGAGGACCAATGGCGCAAACCATCGATGATCTGCGCACAGCAGTGGATGTGGCTTGGCAAAGGTTACCTCAGGCAACCATCAATGGAGTCATTGATAGCATGCCTCGCCGGATTGAGGCCTGTATAGCTGCCTGAGGTGGCCACATTAGATATTGAATAAATTGCTTTATAATGATTTTATTAGTCTGTTTTTTTAATCATTTGCATATCCATCTCACTACTATCGCTCCTGAAATTTGCATGAAGCTACGTGCATTATTTCGTGGTGTTGCAATTTCACTTTTGAGGAGTGTATATATATATATATATATTAATAAATTGGAATGAAAAGAAATTTGTCCACCACTAAGGATAAGTAATTTAAACAGATTCAGGTAAAGTCACACAGACAAATGCTGTAACTCTTAATTTTTTTTTTTTTTTAATTCCGTTTGTTTTAAAACATCTTGCTTAAGTTCTCTTCCACAAGAAGAAGAAAAAATTCGTAAGAGCTTAAAATAGTTGAAGCCTATTATCAAAACTTAAGAGATAAACATTTCTCGTTATGTCCTTTTATCTATCTGTTCAACTTATTAATGTGTAGTTTTTTATTCATTACCTTTGCTCCACTAGGAAAAATATTTTCTGAAATTAAAGAAATTCCGTTGTAGTTGATGGTAAGGCTACAGGTCAGGGTTTTGTTGGTTCAAGTTCCTCTTTAATGGAAAGAAAATATAAAAATCGTAGTTTTGGATATCTTTTCTGAAGTTGAATTTCATTCTCGTCAAGCACGTCCTGATGACAGAAAGAAGATAATAGAGAGGAAATTTAATTTTAAATACGCATTTAATAGGTTTCACAAAGAGGAAGGAATAAAAAGCCATCAAAATTTATCGATCATTAACAAATATTAAATTTAAAAATATTTGTTTAACTTAAAATGTTTTTGATTTTACAATTAATTTTTAAAGTAATGCTCAAGGAAAATAATAAAACAAAAATATTGTTTAAATAAAAAAATACTTTCCAAAAAAAATTTTTTTTTTTTTTTTAATTTGAATAATATTTTCTTCCTGTTATTTACATATTAGTAACATGTTGCAGTAATATACAAAAGGGAACATCTGATGACAAGCACATTAACTTCCAAATCATTTAACATCAAATCGCAGGATTTAGAAACAACTTCCAAATCCTGCGGAATTTGCTAAACTTTTTTCCCCCCCAAATAGTAGTAAAGGTATTGTACATATATTTTAACAAATTAGAATGAAATGAATTTTTTCCAAACATAAATAGTATCAACATAAAATTATCTTTTTGAAAAAGGAAGCTATTTAAAAATAGGAACATTAGCATATAGGGTACTGGGTACAAAAGCCCAAGTTTGAAGAGGAGGAAATGTAGTTATTCATCATACAAACCAAGAAAGTTTGACCATTTTCAGAAGCTAGACTAAAAGGGTCAGCAGACACATTCTTTTTAAATGGAATGAAAACAGCTGAGAAAAATATATTTTAAAATTTTACTACTTAAAAGAGAAAACATAAATTTATCAGATTTCAAGACAAAATAGAAATTTTAGAAAAATAAATTATGCTTTAAAACTTTTTAATGTATAATTCTTGTAGCTAATTATTGAGTACTAATTTTTAAACATTCCATTTTCGCTAAATTTCAAAATATTAAATTTCAAAAAGAGTTCCTTCGAAATTTAATTTAAAAGTATTTCTTGGAATTAATCTTATGGAATTTTTTAAAATTATGAAATAAAAATGGTGTAAAAAAATTTTTTTCAAAAGTTTCTTTTTAAATTTTGTTTAAAATAAAATTAATACTATTATTTTGCTTCTGCGAATTTATTTGAAAGAAGTGCAACTATGTAACTTAGCTTCTTACCTAATAAAATTTATATTTGACTACTTAATTCAAATAAAATATGAGTTTTAGCATCATCTTCACTTTTTAAGGTATAAATTATGTTAGGTATTATTTTATCTCAATGCAAATGCTATGTTGCATTCCTTTTGAAATTAAAAATGAATTTTTTAACTGTGCGAAACTTTTAGACTAATTTTGACAATATTTGATATGTCACTCAAATGTGAAACAAAAAAATTTAATACTCAATTTTTGGAGATTATGGATTGCATGTCATGAATTTTGTATAAAATTTAAACAAATATTAATATAATCAATCTGATAAATCAAAATATGATAGAATTTTAAATGTAATAAATAAATAATTGAGTGTGATTTGCTATAAAATTATATTTTAAAATATTTTGTTTTCATATTTGAAACTGCTATAATAAGTCAAATATAGCCATATTTAGTTTCAAATTTTAGTCTGACAAAAAAAAAGGAGGGAAAAAAATCAAAACACATTTTGGCTATTTATATAATTAATTTTAAAATAATTTACAAGATAATGATAAAGAGTTGTAATGACTTTCTCAATTTAATGAAAGTAGGGTCAAGTAGATGCTAGAAATAAATATTTACTTGAGTTCATGATATGATATAAATGTTTGCATTTATGTTTTTGGAGGAAAAAATAATAATTTCCTTAAACTTACTTTATCACTCATTTGTCGGGGAACAGAAATGTTTCTTTTTAATACGCAATAATAAATTTAAGCGTCTTTTTTCTGATGAATATTTACTATAGAGTAAAATTAGGAAAAAATGACTGGCCAGTTGTAGCATTTTTAAAAGTAATTGCTTTTAAAAACATGTGGCTATTTTTTCAAAAATTGAAGTTTTTAAAGGATTAAAAAAATTTTTGATATTAATAATGTAAGGCATTTCTTTTCTTTTTAAGCATTTCTCAAAATATTGAAAGCATTTCAAGGTTCATATGTACATTGACGAAAATTGTTAAGATACATGCATGAAATAAAGTAATTTTCAGAATATTATATAATATTCATTATTTCATTTTCATTAAAAAAATAATCTAGTGTATTTTTGATGAAAAAATTAGTGAGTTGCTGGCAATTAACTTACAGTTTGTTAATCAACAATCATTTAGTTGCTCTGCATAGACTATTAATTCTGCACTATATCTACTATACTTTTAACGTCCTCTAACAACTTGATTTCTTAAAAAAAATTCACAACTTGATTTCTTTAAAGTGTGTTTGAAAGAAAAACAATCAATACAACAGAAATGCATAATTTTTTCAATATGTAGCTAATGCTAGGAAATAGTTCAGCAAAGCGAAAATTGAGTTGACAACACTCTAAAAAAAAATGTAGGGTAAAAATATATCTGCAAAGGAAATCTAAATTTAACACATGTCTAGATATAAAAAATAAAATAATGAGATTGGGACAAATAGGCTTCAAAAGAAGTAAAGTGCATCGATTGCTACAAAAACTGTATACTGAAACAAATAAGATTAATATTAGATAATTTTCCCGTTTCATAAATTAAATAAGAATATTCCAATTTATTATTTCTTGTTTAAATGTTTTAAATAGCAAAAATACACTATAATCAAAATTGCAAACTTTAATATTCATTACTTTTCATTTGTTAAAATAAATATGGACTATATTTATAAAAAAAACATTGTACGAGATTTAACTTATGATTAAAATGAGAGATTAAAATTATCAAAATTTGTTCACAAACCTTTTTGAGATATGATTGTAATGTACGAGATATGATTCTAATGTTTTACTTATTGCAATAACTACTCCAACCAATTTATTAAAATTTAAATAATTGTACGACTTTTTTTTTCTAAAAAAAAAAAAAAACTTTTACTAATCAGGGGTCTGTCCAGGCCGAATTTACTACCGTTTAGCGGTACCTTCACAAATTCAATTTTAGGTAAAACGGTAGTTTCACAAATTCAACTTTAGGAAAAACGGTATTTTCACAAAATACTTTTTCTTAAAATTTTATTTTTGTCTCCCTTAAGAAACGATAAATCTATATTTTTACCATGTTTTAGTGTTGACTTTTTAATATAATTTTTAATTTTTCACAAATTATGTCAACATTTTCACAAAATAGGTACTTTTAAAAAAAACCTAGACAGACCCCTGCTAATAGAGTTATGTTAAATAACTATAACAAAAATGTTCGAAAAAATAAAAATATAGAATTTTATTAATTGTTATGTAATTTACTTACTATAAAAAAAGTGAAAACTAATTTTACAAAAGAAATTCTCCTTTTTTATAATAAAAAGCAAATGCACATTAAAGAATCCATTTAAAATTTCGAAATAAATTGTGAACACAATAGGAAAGGATCATTGCTTTATTGTTAACCAGCAATACTAGCAAGTACCTGATCATCTAATTATATAGAAAAACTATTTCATCAACCATAACTAGATAACTACTATGAAGAAAGAATTGTATTGTAACTCAATTTTCTAACCCGCGGGCTATATAAACGATACTGATCTTGACATATCAAGGATAACCTTGCTTTTGTTTACTTTACCATTGTTTACAAATGGAGTGATTTAAAATTTGAAGTACTTATGAAATACACTAAAAATTCGACACCTTTTAACGTTCGTAAAAAGTGAAAAGTTTTAATAGTTCTCTTAAAACGGAATAAACTCAAACATATGAAAGATCGGTGCACAGCTTTTAGAGATTCGCTAGATTAAAGACACTACAACTTTGATTTAAAATAGAAAATGTGCTTTCGTCTCAAACGATATTTAAATTCACTAATCCCTTTTATTTAATGAAAATCCAAAGGTAAAAGAAAATCCAAAATAAATGCTATAAAATGTATAAACATAAATAATAATATAGTTATTTCCATAGAATTTCCATCAAATGCATTATTGTGTAATTGAGGTCATGTGATAATGACATTCCGAATGAGTTTCGGTTTAAGTCAAAAGACGTGACGTTGAATGAAATCGAAAACATGGGAAGTCGTTAATTAAAGATAAGAAGATGTACTTGAATAAATTTTGAAAGAGCAGAACAGCAGGACGTCTCTTCCTTGAAAGTTCTAAGGTTTGTTTTCAGTGTTAATTTTCGTTTTATCTAAGTTTTCTTCTTAAATACCGTTTAAAATTTGTTCTATCAATTGTTTATATTTCATACTTTTCAAAATATATCTATAAATTTAATAATGGTTTGGTTTCAAAGTTGCTAATAAAATTACTTAATGTGAATGCCTTTGACTCCTGATTTTCTTTGCTTGCCGTACTACTTTTATTCTTTTTTGTATTAAAAGGCAAAACATTGTTATTTTTAGAGTTTAGCTTATATTGTTTAAGTTATTAAAGTTTATTCTCTTACTTATAAATGATTGAGCATGACTTAAAAGTTTTTTGGGGTCTAAATTGGATTAAATTAAGCAAAATACATTTGATATTTTATGTTTTCCTTAAAAAACTTCATGTTTCAATTTCTTTGTTATGAAGTGTCAAAATATTGTTTGTTGATGTTAACTCTTATATATTAGAAAGAAACTAGTCACTCCCTAGACTGAGAACTATTATTTTTTTTAAAAAATGCTAATATTTTTTACTTAATGTTTTTACTTTTTAATTTTTTTGTGCAGAAATTTTATGTTTGCTCTTTCCTTTATTTTTTTTAACTATTGTTATTTCGAGAGTTAAATTTAATCTGTTATTAATTATTATTCTTTGACTTACTAATATCTAACCATGACATTGAAACTTTATTCACTACATTGTGATACATAACATGAAATTAAGTAAAAGAAATGTTATTTTATGTCTTTCTTTATTAACTTCATGTTACAATTTCTTTGTTTTGAAGTGTCATATTAGCATCTCTTCATCACGACACTTATATATTTAAAAGAAACTAACAGCTTCTTTGAATGATGAGCTGTTATTACTGTAAAATATTTTAATTTGTTTAACCTACTTTAATAGATTTTATGGTTACGTGCAGGGTTGGGTTTTTGCCGTCAAAAACTGGTTTTTGACATGACAGTGGTAAAAACCGTGTTTTTACCGGTAAAAACCGTCAAAAACCTACTGTTTTCTTTAATTTATGGCATGTAGCGGACAATATTTATATTATTTTCACATAATTGCCTTTTTAAATGAATGTTGTAAATGATTGCTGTTGATTTTGCAACGATATACATGTATTCTAATAGAAGGATATACATTAATATAGTTCCACATTCATACATTCATATATAGTTAAGAAGTACATTCATACTTTTATCATTATAGCTTGATTTGCAAAGGATTCAAAATTTTGCACTTCTTAATTGTTAGAAATAAACAAACAAACAAAAAAGCTTGGAACTATTAATAAATTCAAAAACTAAAAAGAAGAATTTAAAATTTGGCATTTCTTAAATATTAGAAATAAGCTAAACAAAACTTTCAAAACTTGCAACTACTAACAAACTCTAAGTCAAGAATGACTTGACATTCTTCAGTAATGTAATATGCCAAACAAAATGATGTTTAGAAATGTTGAAAATTTTGTTTAGTATCCTAATATTTTACTTCAAATAGTATGTTTTGATATAATCATGTTGGGAAAATGCAAGAATCTGTTCTTAAATATCTTTTAACAACTTTTTTTCTAATTTTATTGCCCAAAAATGAATTAATTTTAAATTATAAGCAGTTAAACTCAAAAATACAGTTTTACCAAAACTATGGGTTTTTGACAGAGGGTTTTTTTGACATGACGGTAAAAACCGTCATGTGTCAAAAACTTGCCAACCCTGGTTACATGGTCTATAGGTGATCTGTAAAATACTCTTATCTTTTTTCCTTTCAAAACATTTACCAGTATTGTTTAAAATTATTGGTTAGCGAATATACCCAGATCTAGAGAGGTTCTTTATTGAACAAGTTTGGTAGCAATAAAGAAATAAAAGAATTTTATCAAACTCTCATAGGAGGCTGATTATCAGAACTCAACTGTAAAGTTTCAATTCTTAAAATAAATTAAAGTTACTTCGCAAAAGGTAGGTATAAGTTATTGGAGCAAGTTCTAAAAAATCATAAGAATTAATCTGGAAAATATAAAATTCTTAATAATAAAGTTTTATTCTTTATTAAAGAATATTGTGTTTTATTTTATACTCTATTAAAGAAAAATGTTATATTTTGCACTCTATGATGAAGACTCTAATTAAAAATAGAGAGTACACTAATCTCGCATTGTCTTTGTATATTGTTCAACAAATTAACTGACTATAATTATTATTCTGCAAGTGTGGTAGATGTGTACATTAACTAATTCTGTTTTTGACTGGTATCTTAAAAACCTATTTTTAGTAAAATTGGAGCAATTTTCTCAATTAATATTTATTTATTTTTTATTCTTGTAATAGACAGTATTTCTGGTAGTTGGAAGAAATATTGTACCTACAATCTAAACATATACAAGGTAAATAATATATTCATAAAGTTTTGTTTAACCTACATTGTTAATTACTTATAATGTATTAATCAAGTATGCTAAGTCTGATATTTAAAATGATATAGTTGAAGTCAATTTTTGAAATATTCGAAATTTGCAAATATATAAAATTGTGTTGGTCATTGGTCTTTTTATCCTTCCTCTCCTAAGATTGTTTAAAATCTAATTTTGTTTCTAACTGGAGAATTATAATATTTGTTTATTAATGAAAGTAATATATATAAGAAAAAGGAAAGTCCTTTTTTTGCATACTCTTACAAGTTTGAATTTAATATCAATTATAGTTTTGTATTTAACACTAAAATTTCCCCCTTTCATCAATAATTTTTTTTTATTTTTTTCTTTATTTTTTATGGAATTTGGATAATTTAGGATTGTTTTTCCAGTGAAAAGCAATGTATTAAAATTAATTTTTGGAGTCTACGTGTTACTACAAATCCATTTTCTGAAATGAAAATAACCAACATATAATAACATCTCTGTATTGTAAAGCAGAATTCTTCCAATTTTTATTATTTTCTTAACTATTATTCATTTAAAAGCACCAATGAATTATTATGATATGGGATTCACAACATATTGGCTGTAATACACTCGTGTACATAAATTAAGTTGCACCAAATAAAGGTTGTAAAAACAAAACAAACATGACTTATTCATAGTCCATTTATTAAACAAGAGTTAAAGAACATAACGGATGATGTACGTATGATAACATTCATGAAAAGTATGATTTTTTTTTCTCCCTGGAGCAAATGTGTAAATATCTCCTTTGAAACCATTAAATATAACATGGTTACTAGGATGGTCAATACATTGTATGTCTTCTATACAAAGAAATACAATCTGTACGATGCCTAGGTATGCTGACTATCAAATTATGAAGCTGGTTTTGAGGAAGATTACTCTACTTAGCTACATTGCTTCCGAAGTTTCAACACACATGTAGAAGAGGGTTGTCTGGCTGCAACTTGTCAGCCAAGCATGCTCTATCCGAATCAAGTCAGGTTAAAATGCAGGCCATTTTAGTATGATTAATATCCCAGGGCTGATTGTGCTTCGGAAAAAATCCGGATTTTTAGCTAACAGTGATCCGGAAGTTTCCGGAGATCGAAGGTTCACACGTTTCAAAAAAAATTTTGATCACAGAAGTTTCTGGAAATCAAATTTTCAAGGGTGGAACTTAAAAACACAGTTTATTTTATTTTTTTATAAGGGAGAGCCAGAAAGATACTTTCATGATTAATATTAATTTTTTATTAGTAAATAGTTGTTATAATCATAAACTCAAGAAAGACATTTTTGTAAATTTTAATTACTTCTCCAGGTCATCATAGGCATGTGTAAATGGTATAGGTATGTGTAAAATTTTAAATATATTTTAAGTAAACTAAGAAATATTGAGAAAAAGAAGAAAAAAAACATTGTTTAAATTTTTTTCAATTTAGATGGGGTTTTTTTTTTGTTTTTTTGTTTTTTTTAACTTAAGAAATTTTTCGGAATTTTGACTTGGGCTCACAATCACCCCTGATATCCTCAGTACATAGCAAAATTTCAAGCAAATATGAATGTGATAGCAAATTATCATATTATCTTGATAGGTGTTATGTTTCTGTTATTTATGATTTTTTTTATTTTTTTTTTATTTAAAAAAAATATATATATTATAGTATTTATTATTATTTCCCTTTAAATTAAGTGATTTCATTGGATGATTTAAATCATATCTAATATTATTTTAAATTGTTAACACCCCCTGCAATGTCTCAAAAACTATTTTTATCTCTGAATTTAGTTATCCTCTGATAAAAAAATGAAATTAAGAAAAAAAAAATTTTTTTAATCATTTTGATACTCTTAAACTAGGTCATATTATTTGTGATTCAGCTATATTTAAATCAATTTTTCAAGCTGTAAATTTATTTATTTTAGCTTTGTGGATGTTTCTAACCATATCTAATATTTTCAGTTGTCAGCACCCTACTGATAAGTTTAAAAAAAGAATATTTTTATCTGTGATATTTACCAACTGATTTAAAAAAAGTATTTTGAATTCAATTTTTATTCTGATTTTTATTTTACTGGTTTTTAACTAAATTTCATTTTTCAGTAAAGCTAATATAGCTCTAAGAGTTTCATATTTTTTATGATTCAGCTACATTGCATCAAATTTTTCAAGCTGTAAATGTATTTATTTTAGAATTTTCTTTTATCTCAGAGTACTTAGACTCTATATCAGTTTTATTAATCTCCCAGTCATCTTTTTTATCAAAACTCTTTGTCATAAGCTTTCCTATTCCAACTGAACACACATGAATCTATTTAATATGATAATTCTCATGGCATGCTGCCAAGGTTGGATAAAATAAATTATGCTGTTGAGAAGTTAAATTCTAATTTGCGACATTGAAAGTCTCCTTTTTCATGGTACATGTTTTGTTTTTTTAAATCTATTTCTATTATTTTTCCTGGTTGGACATTAATTTAATGTTTATTATTATAATATAATAATTGTAATATTATTTTTCTGTTATTTAATTTTTTTACATATTTTAGGCCATAATGACTGAAAAAATAGTTATCACAGGATCAAGCGGTTGCTTGGGACAGCATATTGTAAAATTGTTGCAAGAAAAGGATGATAATTGTGGGGAAATAATATTATTTGATAAAAAACCATATTCAAATAATTTAGGTAAATTTTGAAACTTATATATATATATATATATATAATTTTTTTTTAATTTTGGAAATAAATATTCTTATAATATTTTGTATTTAATGACTTTTTTGATTATTAAATCATTAAAAACTTTTAATTAAATAATGTTATTACATTAACTTTATATTAAAAGAATCTAATGACACTATCTTGTTCTTTTATTTAGTAAAGCTTCACACTGCTGTTAAATTATCTAGGTTGGATGCATTTCTTTCATTAAAATTATTTAGTTTTTGTCAAAGAAATCACCTAAAAAATATTTATATATTTTCATATATAAAGGTTGAACTCTGTTTATAGATAAATAATTTATTGCTTTGTATATTTGTAATTTTGAATTGGATATTTTTAATTAGGTATCGATTTAGTTTCATCGACATAAAACTAAAATATACTATTTATTTTACAAAGATTTATTCTTAAATGAAAGTCTTGAGTGTTTATTTAATTAATCCGTATAATAATAAAAATATTACTTTTTAAAAAATGTGTTTCATAATTAAAATGCATTAGTTGGAAATTTTTTTATTAACTATCTGCAATTAATTCTATGTTGATTAGAAATTTAAAATAGCTGCTGGTTCATCTATTTATGTGTATTCATTCATTTTTTTGGAGGAAAAAAATCAATTGCAGCTGGTAAATAAATTATTTTTAACAATTTATATTTTTTGTATACTATGTGTTATTTTTTTTCGTAATATAAAACTTAAAATTTATTATGATAAATGTCAACTAATTAATAGCTTAATACAATCATTTTTTAACCACTAAATCTCTTTCTATTAGAATCACAAAAATTTAATATTTGAGTATATTGAAAGTTGTTTAAATTATTTACTTATCTGGTGGGATAAAGTAGGTATAAAATCAAGCTTTTTTTTTATAAAAAAAAAAGGCTCTAAAACCAAACCATTGAATTAATTTTACCGAAAATTTTGACACATTTTATATACATTGAATTCATATAGAATAAATATGAAGTATAACTTATCTGTATGTTTTCTTGCCGTAATGCATTTAAAAGAGCATTTTTTGATGTATCCTATTTATCCCAGAGTGGGGTAAATTGGATATAGCTCTAAAAATAGTTGATATTTCACTAACAAACATGTAAATCTTGTTTCGGAAATAAAAATGCTCTTAAATAAATGTATCATGATTATATTTGAAAAAATGAATGATGAAAACTTTTGATTTTTTATTATTTCGTATAAATTAAAAAGCCAATTTTCATGGCTATAAAAATCAGGTTTCACTTCAGATGTGAAATATTTTATGCTATTAAATACCTTATCTGATTGAGTTACTTATCTAATTGAGTTGTTAACTAAACAGTTTACATTAATCAATGTATAAATTTATCATTTTTGTATAAATTCTAAACTGCTGTTCATCAAGATTTAATGCAATACATATACAGCTTTAATTATTCAAGCTTAGAAAGCTCTGTCTTTTTGGGTTTTTTTTACATAATTTGTTTACAAGTTAATTTTTTTTTTGTTGAAAAATTTGAACAGTAAATAATTTAACAAGTGTTTTCCAATAGGCATTTCATAAGCTTTTTTACATCAAATATTATAAATCTTGGGTACTTTTGAAAATCTTTTTGCTTCATAAATACATCCTATAATAGTCTTTTTTTTTTCAATTGCTTTCATTTAAAAAAAGAAAACGAATGTTGTTTTAGGAAATGGAATTTTAAAAATGTTTTTTATTTTATTTAAATTAGGCCATTCAGAAACAAAACCCATGAAGCACTACATAGCTGATGTTAGAGACATGCAATCACTTGTCCAAGCTTTTGAGGGAGCAGACTGTGTCATACACGCTGCCTGCGTTATTGATCTTGATCTCAATCCTGACGTTAAAGAAATGATGTCCACAAATGTAGAGGGTAATATATTTATATTATTATTCATGATAAGTGTTCTTATCTTGTAATCAACTTTCTTTTGTTTCAAAATAAATTTTTTAAATCTAAAAACTGGGCAGTTTATATATCAGTTTGGAAATAGCTGTTTTTTTCTAAAATTTTTTATTTGAATTAATTTCTTCATTTAAATTTGAATGAGTAAAAGTTATAAAACAATGTAACATTGTTTTATAATAAAGTTTATAGCTCATTTTATTAATATATTCCTCACTCTGTTGAAATCCCTAAGTCTGTTATCATTTTAAAATATTGTAGAGTGGAAGACATAATTGTATAAATATTAGTTTGTACCTGTACTTAAGAAAGAAAAATTTTAAATATATCTTTTGATAAAATTCTTAGCTGATTTTTGTTTCGTATTACTTATTCTATTGAAATCTAAGTCTGTTATCAAATTAAAATTTATAGAGTAAAAGCCATAATTGTATTGATATTAATTTGTACATTAATTTTTTTAAAAATTGTACTTATTCTTTTACTAAATTTAATCTTAATTTCTTATGTATTTCACTTAAAACTCTAATATGAAGCTTTTGGAAAATATTACAAGATATATTTTATCCTAATTATTGAATAATTTAAAAAGGAACCTACTTGTTATGCAGAAAAGCTACCCGATACAAAAAATTCTTTACCAAACACTGAAAGGATTGAGCAATAATTAGCCCTTAGAATATTATCTCATAAAAGGATAGGATATATACTTTGAATCAAGCACAAATTCTGTACCTTTATTAAGATATATTCTGCTGTTATTGGTTAGAGTTTAGTTCAATATATTTAGCCTTTTCCTCATCTTCTTGTTAGCTAATTTTTATTTTATCGTGATAATTAATTAGAGTCACACGACAGAATTATGAATTACTCTTTTAAGCCGCTAATTTTTAGCGTTGAAACATTTTTCTTATTAATCATTTAAATTATGCCAAGTCATCCTTAAATATTCTATTTTTTATATGGAGTTCAAAAACAATGTAACTTTTCCGCAAATAAAGAAGACATTTTACGCTACTATAGAAACATCTTCAAAAACGATTGTTTCGGTACTAACTGTATACTACTAAATGTATATTATCAGCTGTGGCATGCAGAGGTTGTAATGTTTCCTAGAACAAACTTCTTGATCAGATGGCTCAAAACAGAAGAGCAAAAAATTGAATAAATAAATGTGGGAAAGATATGTATCCATAAAAATCAAAATTTTTATTTTAAATCGGCTTTTTAAATAATTTAAGGTAAAAATTATTTTCTGGTAAAAAAATATATTTTTGCCAAGAAATATTTTTCATTTTTTTCTTAAATGTGAAGAATATTTAAATTTGTATAATCTAAAACTGCCCTGTTAAATTTATCCCATATTTTATTCTTAATAAAATATTTTGTTTGAGTCAAATATTGACTTGTTAAAAAAATTTAGTTATGTAATAAGTTGATTTCCTGAGTTGTTGCTTGGGTGTCCCCTATGAATGGGGATCTTCATGTTATTTTCCCTCTCCTCCTTTGCCTTCCTCTGACTATTTAATGGTTAATTAATAACATTTTCAATAAGTGCCCTTTTGGGGGGGGGGAAGTTAGAACATTTTTAAGCTTATTTTCCCTATAATTTTATGTAATCTATACTTAATATGAAGTATGTTTTTGAATTGATCCCCATGATTAAAGCTTGGTGGGAAGTTTGGTCATTATCAAAGCAATATTTAATAAAAATAAAAAAATATATCATAATCCAAAATGTAAGTTTTTTTAGCTATTTTTGAAAGTATTGAAATATTTATAAGTTTTAAAATAAGTATAAGTTTTAATTTGTTAGTACGGTTTCCTTCAACAACATTATGTATAGTACAGGGGTGGCGAACCTTTGTGCAACAACTTGTCATTTTTTCAAAAATTTTTTAATGAGGTCATAGACGTGCCGTCAAATAATTTTGACTTCGTGATTATTGGGAAAATAATAATACTAAATACTATCAAATCAAAACTCTTTATTTACTATGAAAAAAAAGCATTTTGCAATGTCTCAGTTATAAGTGTAATTCAACTTGAAGTAACATCAGTGTGACTTCTGTTGTTGCAGATTAGATGACAAATAACTTATATTAGGTTGTAAGATGTTAGTTTAAGCAGAACTGTTACATCTTTTTTTTCTGGATATTTATTATTAGCTTGTTTTTTATGGTTATTAATTGTTTGTTTTTTTGGCATTAAATATTAATGTTTTGTTAATAATTGTTTATTTTTTTGCTTGTTTTTTGTGAATTTTAATTTAATTGTTAATATGCTTCATAGTGAACGTTGTGATCAGTGGCGTGCCCAGAATAGTGTGTCACGTGCCATAAATGGCACGCGTGCCACTGGTTCGCCATCCCTGGTATAGTATTTACCTTAGACCATTGTTAAAATATTTTTCTATTCAACTATCTAAAAGATATCATTTATTTTTTTTAAAAAATTTTCCCTTTATTCATTGTAATTATTCAAATACATCTTTAAATGCCTTTTTTTTTTCAAAAGGCTCTCTTTTATACCTGTAAAGTTAAAATTCATACTTCTTAAATATTCCAGTAATTTTTTCTTTTTCACAGGTACAGCAAAGGTCATTGATGCCTGCATTAAAGCAAATGTACCACGCCTGGTGTTTGCCAGCACGACAGACATGGTTTGTGGTAGTGAGCACATATTTTATGGAACCGAGAGTACAACTCCCATTCCTAATACTTGGATGATAGGAAAATATGGGGAAACTAAATGCTTAAGTGAAAAACTTGTGGTTGAAGCTAGTGGAAAGACATTATCAAATGGTAAATATCAATTCTTACTTCTCTAAATGAGTTATGCCAATTCCACTTCATTATCCCTTTCTGGTATATATAATTAATTACAATCTTCAAATTTTTAGGGAAATTACACTAAAATTTCATGATACGATATATGAATATATTTGTTTCCAAATTTTACATTTCTGTTTTTCAGCTGCTATCTGTGAGCTCATATGTTGATATCATTCCCTTTGTTGATAAATTTCTGTATAAAATTAGTCATTCTTTCATTTTAATAAGGATATTCCAAGAAAAAAAATTTGTCTCTCTTTGAAACATTGTTTTAAGTTCTAGTTTTCTAATATTACTGTGTGAGAAAACTCAACATTCATGTTTGGCAAATAAAAATAAATCTGACTTTTAAATTACGCTCAAAATTCAATCTGGATGATTTAAAAAATATATATATAAAAAAAGGCTTCATAACAGCACTAACAAAAGGCTGACAAAAAAAAATGACTTATCTTGGTATTTAAAGATTTAAAAAAAAAATTGATTTTCAGATGCCAGAAACAAGCGCTTTATAGAATTAATTTTTTTAATTGTTGTGAAAGATTTTTTAAAAGAATTGTTTTATTTTTTAATAACATTTTAGCAGTTGCATATCTTTCCTTCTATAATTTAAGTTTACATTTTGATTTAAATTATGAATAGTTCAAAGAAAACCTTCATATGCATGTATGTGTATGTATATTTTGTAATCACATTTTTTTTTCAAAAGTTAGCAAGTGTGCAATTACCAAGACTAGGGAGTTGAAAATATATTTTTATTATTTTTTCCCTTTATGGTATTATAATTTATTATTGTAATTTTTTTTTCTTGGTAATTTTCTATATTTAGATTCTTTCTCCCTTTTTTAGTCATTTTTTTATGAATTTTGAATGATATTTTTCATTTTAGGAGCATAAGTAGACTTATGCGGCAAGATTATGATTTTTTGTTCCTAGTGAATATAAATGGCAGTATACTTAATTAAAACGTTTTTTTTTTTTATTTGGTAGTTTGGTTTGTTTTCAAATTTTTTGAAAGAGAGTTTTCCAATATGGGGCCTCGGGGGCACAATCTGTTTTTAGTATAACCACTGGCTACAGAAAGGCTCTAGCATGTTGGCATGGCAGTGTGTCCCGTGATGAAGTATTGTTTTTTCTGACATGCATATCTTTAAAATTTGTTTAATTTTTATTTAAATTCTCACATTTTATTTAAATTGTGTAAAGTGAATAATTTAATACTTTAAACTGAATGTTATGTTGCATGCTTTGTTTATATTCGACTTCCACATAATCATTATTTTTGTTACTTATTATTTACCCTTTTTCCTCATATTTATTTTATTTCATTTCAACATACTCTTTCACATGATTTGTGTTACTACATTTCTTTATCATTATTTTTTATTATTCACTTATTTATATGACATTTAGTATTAATCATTTGACATGATAATGTGTTTGTCAAGTGATGTTTCTGTGGGTTATGTTATACTGAGGACCCTTGAATAAGTCTTTTATTTAACAACAAATATTAGACATTATAAGATGATCCTAGAATGTCAAACTGTGATTATTTTCTCCTTTTTTTTAAACTTTTATACAAATTTATCTTTTATTATGTAATTGAAAGAAAAAAGTCATAACTTTATTTTGTTAAAGGCATAGCACAAAAAGTTTTTCTGGGGTTTGGGGAACTGTGGGCTAAACCTTCTAGTAGTTAAAATTTTCTACTTCTATAATAACTCAGTTGTGTGCACTATTGAAAATTGTGAAGAAATTAACTAATCTATTTTTTTTAGTGTTAACTGTTATAAAGGAAAATAGTGTTTTAACTATCTTGCTATTGCTGATTTTAATTCTTAAAACTGATGTGTTCGTGTAGGTTTAAACAAATACATATTTTCATAAAATATTATGCTTCACATATGTTTTTAACTGACTAATCATATTTCCCTTTAAAAAGAAAATAGAAAATTTAAAGATACTTCTAATATATTTTTTTATATTCTGACATTTCAGTGAAATAAAAAATGCTTTATTTTTAAAAAAATTATTTTCTTGACCTTATTTATTTTATTTACATTACTCACTTTTTAGTAATCACTTGTATATCACCGCAAGTGCATAAGTTTTTCAATTTTCATCTAAATTATCCGAATCTGATGCAGTTTGATCTGATTGCCTGCTTGGCACCATTGCAGTTAAAAAAAAATTCTTCGAAAAAGAAAAATATACACTTTTCAGAAACTTTTGCAAATACAGCAAAAATCATAACTGGAAGGGGGTAATATCATAACTTACTACTGAATACTATCGGGGAGAAAATGAAGGATTTTTAAAGTTTAAAAAGAACGACCATGTTTGTCTATAATTTATTTTATGGCACAAGTTGCAATACTTCATAATATACAAAAATAAGTACATAAAAATAGATTTATTGTTAACATGTCAACATTATAATGAATATGGTTCTATAAACAGTGTTCAGAATTATTTCTGCTATAAAAATGGTTTTTGAATACCTACATTCAAGGTTGTAGTTGTTCTGATATTCATGGTGAAAAATATTTTTATCTTTATTTATAATGATATTCGTGATTTTTGTGGGTGTTCGGAACATCTGTTTTCACCAAATTCAAATGCAGATTTTAAAATTAATTTTAAGAATTGAGAAATTTGGATTTTCGAAACAACATAATTTGATTGGACTAATCTGACTTAAGAATTACAACTATATCTTACTTTATTTATTTATTTATTTTTTTACATAGGTAAGGACAAATTACGTACTGCAGCCATACGTCCTACACCTTTCTATGGTGAAGAAGACAAGCACTTTTTTTATAGAATGTTGAAAATGACGAAAAATTACCATGGTTACTATCAGCGAATCAGATCGTTGGATGAGAGATTACAAATCTGTTATGTTGGCAATGCAGCATGGGCGCACATTAATGCCAAGAACCGATTAGTTGTTGATGAAACAATCTCTGGTGAAGCATTCTACATAACTGATGACACACCTATAATTGATATACATGAACATGCAGCTGAATATTTAAACGCTCGAGGGTTCACCGTAAGCACCTTTATTTTCCCCTATTGGTTGGCTTGGCTACTTCTTTCCCTACTTATTTTGTTGATCAGCGTTATTAATGTTTTTGTGAAATTTAATCCTAACATACCTCCAGTCTCACAATTGAATTATATGTGCTCTACTTTTTTCTACAATCGCAGTAAAGCCACTCTACGCCTGGATTACCAGCCAATATTTACACCAGAAGAGGCTAAAGAGAAATCCATGGAATACTATGTTAAGGTGCCATTGTAAATTTAACTTTATAAAAATTAATATGCATACTATTTTATGTATTTGCCTTTGAACACAATCAAATCTACTGTTTTTGGGTTTTTGTGTATTATATTCTTTTCGAATTTGTGAACATTCCAGTTTCTAGTATTTTGTTTCATTTACACTTAGAATTATGAATATTGTGTTAAATCTCACATTTGGGTAGCATCTTGAATTTTTTTGAGAGAGATTATTTTAGTTTTAATCAAGTGCATTATGTAAGGCACACAAAAATTATGTTTACTTTTTTTCTTCCTAAATTACTATTTATGTAATTATGCACATTGTAGTATATAATTAATGAAGTGGGGAAGATGCTGATGTGTAGCTGCCTACTCTACAAGAATTAAACTATTTCTGCTGATCTGATTTCATAAAGAATTTTCTAGGATTTATGTATTTTAGAGAATACCATTAACTGTGAAATTTGTTAAAAAATACTTGTCAAGTAAAGAAACATTTTTTTTATTATCTTGTTTATTGCTTGTTTGTATATTTAAATATAAATTACTACTAATGATGGAGTTAGCTTCATTTGCAATGATGAGTTTGAACTTTTCTTTTTTAAATATTCTTAAATTTCCAGTTCTTTTTGTTTTTCAAAATTCTGCACTTTTATTTTAAAGTTTTTGTTATAACCATTTAAAATAAATTCCACAATATCTATCATTATTTAAGATAATTATATTGAATCTAGTACAGATGATGCTCTGGAATCTTTAAATTTATAGGCTTATAATGTGTTTTAATTGTACAGTGCAGAACCTCTTATCCGGAAATCAGAAAACCAAATAACCGGAATGAAATTCGGAACCGGAAATTAATTTTCTTCCATTAAAAAAAATTTTTTTTTCCTGCAAGATTTTGAGCCCATTTTGTTATTTAGAGCGTACGGCGTATCCAGTTGACGAAAGAACTGATTTAGAGGACGGATCTCACATAAGCACAAATAGCCTATATATGTTAATGTTAATAATAACATTAATAACAATTAACATAACATTATATAAGCCTGTATATAATTTTTATTTCATAATTTCTTTCCTTATTTAAACTTAAGTGTATTATTATTTATCATTTTTTATTATTTCTAAAACTATTTCAAAATAATTTTTTAGTTTCGTTTTATAAACATTAAAAAAACGGCATTTTGTAGCGATTCAGAAAACCGGAAAAATCAGTTATCCGGAATCGCGATGGTCCCGATCATTCCGGATAGTCGGTTCTCTACTGTATTATATTTTTTGAAATATTCTTGAATAAATAAACTTTTTGTAATCTAATTTTTTTAAACGCTATTTTAAATATTGTTACTAAAAAAATTATGTATAAAGAAAATATGATGACAGAAAATGCAAAACTAATTGTATGTAATATATTAAAAATAATTTTTGAAAGGCATAATTTTATACAGAGAAATTCTTTATTGTGAATCAATATTTCCCTACCAATGAATGTCCTACTTTGTTATTGGTGTTTAAGTTGACTTATGCACGGGGATTTAAGATTTTTGTAATTATGTAGTATAAAAAAGTTTTTGTGCTGTTTTATAAAAAATTCCCAAAATTCGCCTTATCTAAAATAGTTAAAGTATTACATGCACAATAGTTAACATAAAATTTACATTATTTCGTAAATTTACTGAATTGTTTCCTTTTATATTGGCAGCTACTCTGATGCAATCTACTGAATACCCATTTTGATTTTATTTACTGTGAAAATTAGAGCTTCTTGATATAAGAGCTGAATATATAAGAGCTTTTTAAATGTTTCCTATTAAAAATGACCAAAAAATTATATTACTGATGAAAATATTTAGTCTTATTTTTTTAGCTATTTCCTATTAAGATTATTTAAAACTTCTTACTTAAGAAATAAAATGCAATATCTTGTAATTTAAGAAATACCTTTTCATTATTTTTTATAACTGAATTGCTAGAAAGCAAGTACTATACAAAATACTACCTAATTAATATCAAAGTGTTATTTTTGTTCCAAATTACTTGAATATAAAATACATGACCGCAAACTGAAAATCTTCGTAAGGAAGTAAAGTTGGTGGTGCCATTGTAAATAATTGATGTGAACAATACCTCCAACCTTTAATGTTGCTATGCTAATGAAAAAACTACAATAGTGTAACTTAAAATATAAAAAGGAAACTAATTTCTTTTTATTGAATTAAAAGAAACAGCAAAAAAATTATGTTAATAGATGTTATTAGTTTCTGTGTTCAACTGAAATCTACTTAAAATTACTTGTTTTTCGATCAATAGATTTTACATGTTTCTTTTTCAATGATTTTCTTATTTTAGAATTTACGCATATTGTTTCATTTAAAATGTATCAAACTTAATTTAAGATAATCTTTATTGTGGGACAAAGAATATTTTCACATTTTATCCAGCCACTGAAATTTTAAATTAATAATGTAGACTGTTTCATTTTATTTTCTTATGTAAATACTGATACAATGTAGTGACAAAGCTAAATAGCTTTTTATTTATTTTATTATTTTTTTAATACTTTAAAAACTGAAAATAAATTAGTAATTATTTAGACTTTTTATTTACGTATGTTAATTAATTTGAAATATACAAAACTTAGGTTAGGATAAACTTCATAGTAGGAGAAAGAATATTTTCAAAGCTTAACCACTTAGCTCACTGAATTTTTGAATAAATAATTAGAATACATGACTGTTTTATGTTATTTTGTTATACACTAATTACATTATGTTTTGACTGTTACAAGATGGCTTTGTATTATTTTTTCTTTGCATAGTTATCCTGTATTAAACTTTGTAATTCTCCAATTTTTAAAACTGTTACTATTCATTTATAAAACTATTTCTATATATATTTAAAACTGTTACTATATATGTGTATAAAACTAATACTAAATATATATATACATACACACAGGGTGTGTCTGAATAAGACTGCAAAACTTTACCGCCTGATAGAACGCATCTATAGGAGCAATCGTCATAGAATGTATGATTGAAACACAAGTAGTGAGAAGTTAAAATTTTAAACTATCACATTTAAAGAATTAACACAAGAATGGGAAAAGATGTTATCACCTAGTAAAGTTTTGTCAGACTCACCATGCATATAAAAGTTTGTAAAGATCTTAAGAGTTTGTAAGAATCTATAAACATTTTTATTTACCCTAATAAGAACTTAATATATATTTTATTATTTTTCTTTAATAATTCTTATTAAGTAATGGGATTCACCATAGGTTTTTTAAAACATACAGGGTTTTGGAGTTAATTATTTGGCACTGTTTTCACGTGTGTATGTGATAAACAGTTTGGTATTAATTGTTTTACTTTATATCTTGCTATATTTTGAAGTGTTTCAAAACTGAAATTATTTATAATTGACACTTTTGTTCTGCACATTTTTACTTATTTTCATTAACAAATTTTATACAACTTATATTTTTGTATGGCACTTTTTGATACGTCTAACAATAAATGTTATGCATTAATACAGTATTGTTTGTCATGATGGATTATTCAACTTTCAGCTACATCTCCACTGCATTATTCCAGAGCTTAAAACAAGAGTGCACAATCTGCCAAACAAATATTCCAAAAATAATCAACAGTAAAAAGCACTATATTATAAGGGAAAGTTCAGAAAAATCTTGACGTACATGTATGTATTATGGGATAGTTTGAAATTATGAAAAATTAGTATACCTTGCAATTTAAGAGTATAAAAAATTAAATAATAAAAATAAATAGTTTAATGTTTTTCAGTTGAATTATCTTTGAAGATATGAGCGCGATAAATTGAGTGGATAAATAATTTGTGTGCAGAGAGTTTTTGATTTGCTTAAATAGTTCTAGAGGTATGCCGAATTAGAATTAATAGATCCAATCCTTTGACAGTTTTCTTAATTGAACTATTTTGATCATATTTCCAAATTTCGAGCTTCCCTCTATGTTATTAGGTTCAAATATCCAAAATGGTTAAATAGTATATTTATTTATAAAAATTTAGTTTTTTTTTTATTGATTTTGAAACTTTTAATATTCTTAGCACCACAGACTTATAATATAGATTAACTGCTCATGAGGCATTACATGCGGAAACGAGCAACCCCATCACGTGACTCGTTTACTGTTTCACGATTTTCCAATCCAAACTTTTTCCAATGAAAGCGTTTCGTAACCCACTCTCCTGTTGGGCCATTTTTTTTTTCTATAAGCAGGTGTGATTCTTGGTTTCACAGTCCAATGAAAAAGAAAAGGGGAGAGGTTCTTTCTTCTTAGAAGGGAAACATATTTTGTGTTTCATATTTCTCTTAAAAAAATAGGACTTAATTTTTGATTTTTTTTCCCCCTTAGTCGTATGCATGTTGTAAGTCGATATTTTTTCACCCTTCCAATAACTATTATTATTTATTTTTCATATTCGATGGCACAATAACAATATCAAGGTTTTATAAATAACTATATAAAACTTAGTTTTTTTTTTTGGTTTAAAACAATAAAGTTTATTCAGGGATATGAAAGATATATAACATAACTGATTCACAAATTAAGTTCTAAAAATTGAATATGTTCCTAAACAATAACTTACTAATTAATGAAGCATAATCGATATATTCTACTTCAATTAAAAAGCTAAACTGTAAATACGAAGCTCTTCTCAGTTTTGTTACAGACAGTCAAGTATTCAATACATGCATATTGTTTTAAAATTGAAAAAACTCAAAAACAAATTAATAAATTCAAAACAAGTTATGTTATAGAACACAAGTTCGTTCTTACATCTATACTATAAACTTTATGAGAAGATACATTAAAAATCATGGTTTTTTAACCGTAAGAATTTTTTTTTCTATGGAATATTCTTTTTAAACTGTGATCGATTTACATAAATATGCAAAGGTAAATTAATGATTTTTTTCGTATCATTATAACGGAACTTGACCATTTTTTAAAGCAATTTAACACATATTTTAAAAGGAATAACAGAACAAATTTATAAGAACAGTTTTAATTTAATTCTAATTAAGGGAACATTCAATAAGAAAAAAAATAGAGTTATTTGAATTAACTTTTACCAATCTAGTATAAATATGATAAACTACTCCAAATAAAAATGTTGATCGAATTAGTCTTAAAATTTTTTCAATTAAGGGAATTTTGTATTTGCTCACAATAGAACACTGCGTAGTTAATTATTTATTTTTGAATTTCCTAGTAGACAATATTTTAGTTAAAGAGTTCCATGCAAGATTTCTTGGTTGCTGACATGAAAAATCTAACTTTATTTATCAAAAAAGGTAAATTATAATTATATATAATAGGTAATTTAATGATATGAAAAATTTCGTAAATTATTTTAAGATATATAGACTAGCTAATAAGATATCAGTTCTAGAAATTATCAGTTAATATTGTCTTATCAATTGAAGTCTTGTAATTAAAAAAAATTTGCTTCATTAAACAGCTTCGCTAGCTTTAGGTGTAAAATGTTACATAAAATCTTTTTTCTTAAGCTTTAGAAACAAAGATGAGGAAATAAAAAACAATACTGACCAACATGGCCAAGATGAAAGAGTATTCTCCGACCGGAATTTTGATGAGAATAATTTTATTTTGATGGACGATGGGTCGGAGGACGGTGTGCAAAATATTAAAGAACACAGTTAGTGGACGCAAATTTGACAAAGAACACAAATAAAAAAAATTTTAAACCTTTAAAAAAATCAAAGCCCTAAATGACTTATTATGAATATTACATTCAAAACCAAGTTTTCGGAAGAAAATTTTCTTTTAATTCAACCAGCTTCCAAAGACGCGGAATGCGATAACAAGAAGAAAAAGGTCCCAGCAGATTGGCCACACATAAAAGGATATAAAAAAACGACATTAAAGTGATAAAGATGTTAGAGATAATATTGAAGCCAATATGCCAAAAGCAAAATCACCCGGCTCAAATCTTTAAATAAATTATAGAATATAAATAGATAAAAGTAAAGGATAAATAAATGAAGCAGAAATTGTAACGCTACTAAATCAAAATATTAAACATTACTACACTAAAATATCTACAATATTAAATTATTCTAAAATATATAAATCAATTTTAAAAATATATTATTGTAAAGATAAAAAAATATTATTAAGATTAAATGATTTATTCTAATAAATTACTATTTGTAACTGGATGGTGGAATGGATATATTTATATTTGACTCGATTTATAAATAATTCATTCTTTTTTTCATGTTATACATTAGGTGGCCCAACTTGCTAAACATTAGTGATAAAATATACGAATGAAAGATTAATAGTTAATGTTGTAGATAATTATTCCATTTTAAATCGTTTAAAAAAAAAAGTAATTTCGTCATTAAAGGTAGTCACCTTTGTTCGCTATGTGGAAAACGCGAAATTCCAGGTGCTTTCTCTAACAGCATTTTATGACATCAAGAAAACATATTTTTCTTTCCATTACTATCGCTAAATATAGGAATAAGTAGCCAATATTGCTTACCATTCCTTCTTTTTCGTCACGCTGAGTGGCTGATTCAGACTAGTTTTAAAGTGAGTGTGATTTTATCATTGCGACAGCAGTCTACTTAAATTATTAGTCTGTGATCTGCACAAAGTAATTCGTATCTTTGAAATCAACCCTTNATTTAAATATATATATATATATATACAGTCGAACCTCTCTAACTCGAACCTCGATTTCACAAATTTTTCGTTATCTCGAAGAAAAAAAAATTACCTTCAAATTTCCTATTTGTGTCCAATGTTAAAAAAAACTTGATTTCACGAATTTTTTTTCTAATCCCTCGATAACTTGAATTTTTTTCCATAAATAATGTAGATTTTTTTTCTAAAATTAAAAAAATATTCCCAAAAAAATCTTAGGAATGGCTGACAAGGCATGGAATGATGTGTCTTCCTCTACGATAATGAATGGCTACAAGAAGTCTGGATTCATTTAAGATCACAAAAGTAGTCAAACAATCAATATCGTTAATTCTGCTGAAAACTACACCGAAATTGATTGGAACAGATTGACCGGACTCATGAAGCTTGATGACATGGAATTTCATGACTTTGTAAACGTAGATCATGCAGTAACAGTGTGTGGTCAGTGGGATGACAATGATATCAACGCTCAAACGAAAGCTTCTTGTGAACTATCAGAAGAAGAAGATGATGAGGAAATCGAAGATTTACCGCCCAATGTTACTAACGAACAAGCACTTCCTGCAGTGGACACTGTAAGGAGATTTATTGAGAGGCAGCCGAATATGTCAGAGGAGACATTTAAAGCTATAGTTCACTTAGAAAGTGTTATAGGCTAACTTTCTTACACATCTCTAAAGCAAACAACAATTGAATCTTTTTTTAAGTGAAAGTGTAAAAAGTGTTTTAGAATAAGTATGGAATAGTAAATAAGGTAAAGAGCATTTTTCTTTATTCTACCATCGATAACATGCGATTTTCGATATCTCGAATTTTTTCTCCTCTCCCTTCAAGTTCGAGATATCGAAGTTTGACTGTATATACACACACACTCACAATGAGCCTAAAAGAAAAACTAATACCCTGAATAACTTTAATTCTAAAGTTCGGATTTCAACATACTAGGTGAAATTAATGGTTCAAGGAACTGATTTCAAATTTACTAGTTAATTATTGATAACTATTAATGAGGTTACAAAATGGGACCTTAAAAGGTATTTTCTCGGAAGAAACGTACTTTTTTTCCCGTCAGATTTGAATTCTTAAATTTGGATCAGATATCTGGAAAATATGGTCCCAATAATTTAGCACAGACAGTGGCCAAAAGTTTTGTTTCTTCAATGTTGATTTTACGTTTTGCGTATTTCACCATAACTCAGGAACTTCTTAATTAAATCAGAGTTATAACATTCATCTATTGTAAGATATTAAAATGTGAAATTAATTTTCAATAATTATGTATTATATTTTTTTATTTTATGTTGGTCTAAAAATTAAAATAGTATATGTTTTTTTTTCATTTTTTTAAAATTTATTTGTCAAAGTGCAAAATTTTAGAATAATCAGTAGTAATTGCTCAAGAGAGATAAAAACTTACAAAATATGGCTTTTTTGAAATTTCTAACTCAGAAATAATTCAACCGATTTCATTTAAATTTTGTATTTTGATATTAAAAATTATGCCACTAAAAATAAAGTAAAAATTTCATACCTTGCAATTAAAACTTTTTTGATTATTATTAAATGAAAAAATAACTAGAAGTTATGTTTAACAAATGAATTTTCTTTGGATAAGTGAATGTTATTACTTTGTGCAAAAATATTTTAATTTACTTAAAATTATCCCGAGATATGACAAAATAAAAAGACATAATAGCGCTTATTGATTAGCATATTTAAGGTTAATCCTTAATCACTCGATACTGAAAAAAAGAAAAAAAAAGAAATTGGAACTCTTTGGAAAGAAAAATTTGGAAAAATTGGCACTCTTTATG